ACCATAATTCAAAAACATCAATTCTTCGGCGATTCCCCTTCATGGATCACTGCCTTGCCGTGGCGAAGGGGCTTGAATAACTCGGAGAAGCTATGAGCTATGCCATGCAGGGCCACCCAAGATGGACAGGTCATAGTGGAGAGTTTTGACCAAACGTGATCCACCTGGAGCAAGAACCGGCAAGCCACTCCAGTATCCCTGCCATGAAAACTCCATGGACAAAGAGAAAAGGCATATATTGATGCTTTGGACTATAATGTAAGTTAAATTGAAAATTATCTTTAGAAAGATTTTTCCTCCAAAAGAATTTTATTTTAAAAATCTGATTTAAATTTAAAAACTTGGTAGGAGCAAAAACGAGTGCTGTGGATCAGGGAACAGTTTTCCGACCAAGGGAATGCGGCCATTGTCATGGACTGGTTGTACCCCAAGGAATGGTGGGAGGAACCAGCTGGTGTCGGTGGGGCAGGGCCCCATTTTCCCAAATGCACCAGCCTCCACTGTTTGACTGAAAAGATTGGTAGGATTCTGGCCCAATCAGAGCACAGTCTCTATTGTCTTTTATTTATGATTTTCAGTTATATGTATTTCAATAGTTTTACAATCATTCTAACATTTCAAAATTCGACTTCCTCCTCTTTCTGTTGTTCCTTATTATTTTTTTTACATTTCCTGCATATTCTAAGTTTATTCTTTTATTCATCTACTTTAAATATTTGCTTTTATGAAACTGTAGGTTATTACAATATTTTTTTTTTTTAAAGCAATTTATTGGGTTTTACAATAAAGATAAACATAATAAACAATATAACATTTGTCTTAACATAGTTTCACATTTTCTTTGGACTTCCTCACATCCCCCGCTCCCACTTTCATCGTTATAACATTTTGTCAGCAATTTATCATCTTATTTAAATTCTTATATCTCTTCAATGTTTCATAATCTTATAGTTCTCATAAAGAGTTAAACTTTCACAGTCTTACTTATTTTCTTAAAAACTTCTAAGTTAAGTGGTGCTCAGTTATTTAGTCTAGCATCTTATTTAGCATTCACTCAAATCACAATATTTTTGTAGATAGTTCTTAAATTTCTTCCAATCCTCCTCGATTCTCTCTTCTCCCAGGTCACGGATTCTGCCGGTCATTTCAGCCAGTTCCATGTAGTCTATCAGTTGCATCTGCCATTCTTCCAGTGTGGGTAAATCTTGAGTTTTCCAATGTTTTGCAAGAAGTATCCTTGCTGCTGTTGTTGCATACATAATTAATGTCTTGTCCTTCTTTGCCACCCCTTGGCTGACAATACCCAGAAGGAAAGCCTCTGGTTTCTTGGTAAAGGTATATTTAAATACCTTTTTCAATTCATTATAAATCATTTCCCAGAACGCCTTCACTTTAGGGCAGGTCCACCAGAGGTGGAAGAACGTTCCCTCACACTCTTTACATTTCCAACACTTATTATCAGACAGGTGGTAAATTTTTGCAAGTTTAACTGGGGTCATATACCATCTATAAATCATTTTCATTACATTTTCTTTTAGAGCGTTACATGCAGTAAATTTCAATCCATTACTCCACAACTTTTCCCAGTCCTCAAACATAATATTATACCCAATGTCCTGTGCCCACCTTATCATAGCCGATTTAACCATTTCATCTTGTGTATTCCATTCCAACAGCAAGTTATACATCCTTGAAAGTACCTTAGTCTTTGGTTCTAACAATTCTGTTTCTAATTTCGATTTCTCCACCTGGAACCCTAGTTTCTTATCATTTTTAAAAACTTCTTTAATCTGAGCGTAATGTAACCAATCTCGCACTTTGTCTTTCATTTTCTCCAAACTCTGCAATTTCCAATTGTCTCCATCTTTTCTAGTATTTCCTAATATTTTGGCCATTTAGCCTCCATATTGGGTCTTTTCGGCCTTAGCTTCCAAAGGTGAAAGCCACCTTGGTGTTTTATTTTCCAGCAAGTCTTTATATTTTGTCCAGACATTATACAATGATTTTCTGACAATATGGTTCTTGAAGGCCTTATTTGCTTTAACTTTGTCATACCATAGATATGTGTCAGGGAACTGCCATCGGAAGGAAGGGAGGTGAAAGGACTCAGACAGGTTGGAAGAGATTCAGCAGCTGAAGAGGGAACCAGCAAGGGGAGAGAAGCTGAACTGAGGGAGGTGAAAGGGCTCAGACAGGCTGGAAGAGACTCAGCAGCGGAAGAGGAAACCAGCAGGGGGAGAGAAGCTGAACTGAGGGAAAGGGAGCTGGGGGGATGGCTCAGAGATACTTCCAGCGAAAACAGTGGTGAGGCTTCCGGACCTCCTGTAGCGACACCCACTCCTCGCCGGAAACTGTCACGCAGAGAGTCCAGAAGACGTGTTTCCGTTAAGGAGCTTTTATGTTGGAAGCGATTACGAAAGCAACCACTGTCGGAATCTTCTAGTGACTAGAGGAGCCATGTCAGAGGGGCTCAGTCACAGACAGAGGTTTGTGGACTTGAACAAACTCTGAGGGAATACGATTTTACGCACAAGCAGCTCATAATCCCATCACAGCATTCCGACAGTCTTTGAACGCAGCTTGTGCAGGAGAAGGCATAATGAGCAACCCAGCAGGAACCGGAGAAGCAGGGGCTGGAGCGGGTCCAAGCCTGGAAGAAAGGTACCGGGTGTTGGAGGTCCAGCTGGCGCTGCAGACGGCGAGGCTGGAGGAGAGGAGGGCTCAAGATGCAGACAAACGGGAGCAAGCCACCCAGCTCGCCAGAAAGGTACCAGGATTGGTGCAGAAATTTGGGGGGGAGCCCAAAGACTATCATAGCTTTCGGACAGAAATGCAATATGCCCTCAATCTGCAGTTTGATGATTTCCTGATGAGGAATCACGAGTGGCTTTTGTGATTGGGCATCTTGAAAAGGGGGCGAGAGACTGGGTGAGACCCCTGATGGCAGCGCATAGTGACGTCCTAAAGGACACGATGAAGTTCTTTCGCGCCATGGATCTGATGTTTTCCAGCGATATTGAAAAGGGAGTGGTGCGCAGACAGTTAATGGCTTGCAAACAGGGGAGCCGATCTGTACGTGAGTACTGGACTGAGTTCACCATGCTGATACACAGATTGGGGTGGGACTTATCGGCGGAACCCATTCAAATGCTCTTTGAAGAAGGGCTTTCTTCGGCTGTGAAAGATGAACTTTCCCGGGCGCCCAGGGCGGAGTCTATGGACCAGCTGACCAAATCAGCGCTGGCCATAGGAGCGCGCCAGGAGGCGAGAGCATTGGAGAGGCGGGAAGGGAAAGGGGAACGTTGGAAGGAGTTCCGCATTCCAGACATTCCAGAGCCAACTGTCCCGCCGGCAGAGCCGATGGAAATCGGAACAGCGGGCGCGCGCGCAGTTTCAAAGCCCAGTGAGGGGGAAAGAAGGATGGAAAAGGCGCCCGGAAATGCTATCTCTGCCAACAGCCAGGGCACTTTGCCAGAGTCTGCCCCCAGAGGAAGGAATGGCAAGGGATGGTGGGAGCTGTGGAGGGAAGAGAGGAAAAATACCGGAGCAACTAAAAGCCAACGCCTGGCTGCCATTGTCGGGCACAGCAGCCAGGCCAAAGAGCAGTGAAAGTGCCCACCCAGAACCTCCTAAACCCGCCCTAGTGATAGAAGTGACACTAGAGCTGCCAAACGGACACCCTCTAAAGATAAAGGCGCTGTTGGACTCAGGCAGCTCCTGCAATTTCATGAGCAAAGAGTTTGCAGCTGAACACCAGATACAGACGCCCCTTTAAGCAACCCCCTGCAGGTAACCACGATCGATGGCAGGGAGCTGTTGGGAGGAGAAGTCAGCTTGCAGACCGTCCCAATGATAATGAAGGTGGCAAGGCACACCGAACTAATAGCATTTAATGTGGCCACCTTGGGAGGAGCTCCCATTATATTGGGGATGAGCTGGCTAGCGTTACATGATCCGCTGGTGGGCTGGCATCAAAGAGTGGTTTCTTTTGGGTCAGCACATTGCTTAGAACATTGCAAAGAGGGAAGGGTTTTGGCAGGGGCCCAAGCCACTCTAGCAGGGACTGAAGTGACGGAGAACGTGAAGGTACCACGACAATACGCAGATCTCCGCGACGTCTTCAGCGAAAGGGAAGCTGACCAACTACCACCGCATAGAGCCTTTGACTGTCAAATCAATTTGCTTCCTGGGGCACAGCTCCCTGTGGGCAAGCTGTACGCCATGTCAGACAGAGAGATGCAGGAGCTAAGAGAGTTCATTGACAAGAACCTGAAGAGAGGGTTCATCAGAGAGTCCAGGGCGGTGGGGCAGCCCAGTGTTTTTGTGGACAAAAACACGAACAAGCCGAGACTGGTGTGTGACTTCAGGGCCTTAAATGCAGTGTCAGAACCAGTGGCCTTCCCGATGCCCAGGATTGACGACATTTTGACAAGGGTGCGGAAGGGAAAGATTTTTACCAAGCTGGATCTAAGGGGGGCGTACAACCTGATACGAATAAGGAAGGGGGATGAATGGAAAACCACCATGTTCACCCCTTTAGGGGCATTTGAATACTTAGTTATGCCCTTCGGTCTACAAGCAGGCTCCGCAACATTTCAATCGTTTATGAACCACGTCCTGGGGCCGTTGCTTTACAAGAATTGTGTGGCCTTCTTAGACGACGTGTTGGTGTATTCTGAGAATGAGGAGCAGCATGTGAGAGACGTCAGAGAAGTGTTGAGCAGGCTGCAAGCCAACCAGCTGTGGGTGAAACTGGAGAAGTGTCAGTTTCATACCAAGGAGGTGGAATTCCTGGGGTATCGCCTGTCTGACCCGCGCGCGGCCATGGATCCCGACAAGGTCCAGGCGGTACTGGAATGGAAAACACCCAAAACAAGGAAGGATGTGCAGAGGTTTTTAGGGTTTGGGAACTTCTATCGTAAGTTCATCCCAAACTTTGCCCACCTGACGGCGCCCATTACGGACTGTCTCAGCAGTAAGAAGAAGTTCGTTTGGACGGAGGAGGCGGAGCAAGCATTTGAGGAACTAAAAGGGCCTTCGCCTCGGAACAACAGCTCCTGCATGTGGATTTACAAAAACCGATGAGAGTGGAAACTGACGCATCAGACAGAGCGGTTGGGGCGGTGCTTCTCCAGCCAGGGAAGGAGGAGTCAGAGTGGAGACCGTGTGCTTTTTTTCGCGAAAGCTGAACAAATCCGAGAGGAACTACACGGTGTATGACCGAGAACTACTAGCCATTCATGAGGCGTTCCGGAGATGGAGGCACCTGCTAATTGGCGCACAACATAAGGTGCAAGTGTGCACTGACCACAAGAACCTAGAGTATTGGAGGACGGCACGAGTGCTCAACCAACGGCAAGTGAGATGGGCCCAGGAATTCTCCAAATTTAACTTTGAGATTTGTTACGTGCCAGGCCCAGAGAACATTAGGGCGGACGCCTCTCACGCAAACCTGAATATTGGGAGGGGAGGGAGCACCCGAAGAGAGACATGTCATTCCAGAGGACCGCTGGGTGTGTGGGGCGGCATTGGTGGGACAAAGAGAACTGGTAGAAGAAACAGAGAATGATGAATACGCCCAGAATAAGCTCAGAGGTCTTAGGGATGAGGGAGAGGAATCAAGGGGTTTCGAGGAAAGAAATGGAGCTTTGTATTACAAAGGGGCACTGTATATCCCTGAAGGAGACTTAAGGGGGAGGGTACTCAAGCAGTTGCATGACAGCCCCACGGCGGGCATTTTGGGCAACACAAAACCATGTGGTTGGTCACCAGGGAATTTTGGTGGCCTAAGGTGAGGGAGGATGTACGTGAGTATGTAAGAGGGTGCGAGCAGTGCCAGCGAGCCAAAGGGGAAAGGCGGGCGCCGGCGGGGCTATTAGAACCCTTACCAACACCAGAACGACCTTGGGAGGCAGTGTCGATAGATTTTATGACTGATCTGCCGAAGTCCAAAGGGAAAACAGCCATCATGGTGGTGGTAGACCTACTAACAAAGATGTGCCACTTTGTAGCTTGCTCGCATGCAGTCACGGCGGAAGAGACAGCGAAGTTATTTGTAGAACACATTTTTAGGTTGCACGGGGTGCCATTGAGGGTGGTCTCAGACCGAGGAAAACAATTTACTTCCAGGTTCTGGAGGAAGCTCATGAGCTTACTGCAGGTGGAGGTCAACTTTTCGACTGCCCGGCACCCTGAAACCAACGGGCAGGCGGAAAGAGCAAACGGTGTCCTCCAGCAATACCTGAGGTGTTATGTCAATGACAGAGAGAATGACTGGGTAGAAAAGTTGGCGCTGGCGGAATTTGCCTACAACAATGCCGAGAATGTGTCCACAGGGATGAGCCCTTCTTGGCTAATTATGGGTGTCATCCCAGGGCTTTCCCAGGGGAGAAGGGGAGAGATGGAGCGCACTGGCAGCCGAGCATTTTGTAGAAGAAATGGAAGCAATCCACCGTCAGCTCCAACTCAACTTAGAAAGGGCGAAGGAAGAATACAAGAGGCAGGCAGACAAGAACCGAAGGGAAGGTGAAACCATAAGGGTTGGAGATAGGTGTGGCTGTCAACCCGAGGGCTGCCGCTCAAAGGAGGTTGTAAGAAATTACGACCCAGGAGGTTGGGTCCCTTTGAGGTCATTCAACAGGTCAACCCAGTGGCTTTCAGGCTCCGGTTACCCAACCACATGAAACTGCACCCAGTATTTCACAGGTCGTTACTGTCACCGTACGAGGGGGGACGAGAAGGGATGGCCACTGGGACCGGTCATAGAAGAAAGAGAATGCAGCAGTCATGTGGCAGAAATCCTTGATGCCAGGTGGAAGGGGAATCAGGTGGAGTATTTGGTAGCGTGGGAAGGAGAACCGGAGTCAGAAAACACGTGGGTAATGGCCAAAGATATCAATGACGAGGTATTGATAGAAATGTTCCATCAAAGGTTCCCGCAGGAAACCTCAGCCTGTGGAGAGGTTCCGGAGGGAATACTTTGGGACCACTGAGGAGGAGGAGGAGTTGGAAGGATTCCCAGAATCGGAAGGGGAAGGGGAGATGGACTCGGAGGAGGAGGAGTGCTTCGAGACCAGGAACCGCAACAGGTGGAGAGAAGTGTTCGAGACATCGGAAGATGAAGGAAGTTCATTCCGGGTTTTGCCTCCTCACCGCCCGTAGAGGAGGGGGCGAGAGGGGGTGAAGGGGGCCCTGGAGGGGGAGGTGGATGTCAGGGAACTGCCATCGGAAGGAAGGGAGGTGAAAGGACTCAGACAGGTTGGAAGAGATTCAGCAGCTGAAGAGGGAACCAGCAAGGGGAGAGAAGCTGAACTGAGGGAGGTGAAAGGGCTCAGACAGGTTGGAAGAGACTCAGCAGCGGAAGAGGAAACCAGTAGGGGGAGAGAAGCTGAACTGAGGGAAAGGGAGCTGGGGGGATGGCTCAGAGATACTTCCAGCGAAAACAGTGGTGAGGTTTCCGGACCTCCTGTAGCGACACCCACTCCTCGCCGGAAACTGTCACGCAGAGAGTCCAGAAGACGTGTTTCCGTTAAGGAGCTTTTATGTTGGAAGCGATTACGAAAGCAACCACTGTCGGAATCTTCTAGTGACTAGAGGAGCCATGTCAGAGGGGCTCAGTCACAGACAGAGGTTTGTGGACTTGAACAAACTCTGAGGGAATACGATTTTACGCACAAGCAGCTCATAATCCCATCACAATATGCATGCCATCCAAAAACATTATTAAACCCTTCCAAGTCCAACACATCAGTGTCTTCAAGAAGTAGCCAGTCTTTTAGCCAGCAGAACGCTGCGGCTTCATAATACAACTTTAAGTCCGGCAGGGCAAAGCCCCCTCTTTGTTTTACATCAGTTAATATCTTAAACTTGATTCTGGGCTTTTGCCCTGCCAGACAAACTTCAAATATCTCTCTGCCACTTCTGAAAGCACTCCGCTTTGTCCAAAACCTGAAGTGTTTGAAATAAAAACAACATCCTTGGCAATACATTCATCTTAATAGCAGCAATTCGGCCTAACAAAGAAAGTTTCAATTTTGACCAACTGTCTAAGTCTCTCTTAATTTCTGCCCAACATTTTTCATAGTTATCCTTAAATAGACTTAGATTTTTTGCTGTTATGTTTACCCCTAGGTATTTTACTTTTTTAACCACATTAAGTTCCGTCTCATTCTGAAACCGTTCTGACTCTGTATCAGTCAAATTTTTCCCCAAAACCTTAGTTTTCTGTTTATTTAATTTAAATCCCGCCACCCGACCAAAATCATTAATCAATTGTAATACTCTTTTCGTACTGGGCTCTGGCTTCTGCAAGGTCAAAACCAGGTCATCTGCAAAAGCTTTTAGTTTATATTGTTTCTGACCAACCTGAATTCCTTCCACCAACCGATCCCTCTAATCATGTTCAGTAGCACTTCCAGAACCGAAATAAATAACAAAGGGGAAATAGGGCAACCTTGTCGTGTCCCTTTTTCAATTTTAAACTCTTCTGTGACCACATTATTAACTATCAGTTTAGCTTTCTGTTCTGAATATATCGCCTCAATCCCATTCTCAAAACCCCGTCCCACTCCCATCTCTTTTAAATTTCCCATCATAAATTTCCAGGAAATATTGTCAAAGGCCTTCTCCGCATCTATGAAAATTAAAACTGCTTTTGTATTTATATCTGTTTGCAGAAGTTCCAAGATGTCAATAATGTTCCTTGTGTTAGCAAACAGATGTCTACCTGGGAGAAAACCGGCCTGGTCCTTATGAATTACTTCATTTAATACTTTTTAAATCTACTTGCCAAAATATCTGCAAATATTTTGTAATCCACATTTAAAAGAGAGATGGGACGGTAGTTCTTCAGTTGTGTCTTTTCAGCTTCTGACTTTGGTATTAATGTGATGAACGCTTCCTTCCACGAATCCGGTGCCCTCTCCCCTCAATAATTTCATTGCTGACCTCCATCAAGGGTTGTATCAAATAGTCTTTTAATGTCTTATAATACTTGGAGGTCAGCCCATCTGGCCCTGGAGATTTGCCAAGTTGCATGTTCTGAATAGCTTGTTCAATCTCCTGTCGTGTTATTTTAGAGTTCAGGATTGTCCTGTTTTCTTGTGACAATTTAGATAGTCCATTTTTGGCAAAAATTGTTTAATCTCAACTTCGTCTTGCGGCCCTTGGGTGTATAATTTTTAAAATATCTCTGGAAACACTTTCTAATATCCACTGGATTCTGAATGTTTTTTCCATCAACCTCTAAGTTTGTAACCGTGTTTAATCTTTGTCTTCTCTTCAACTGCCAAGCTAGCAGTTTTCCACATTTATTCGCCGACTCAAACGTTTTTGTTTCATTAATTTAACCTTCCATTCAATTTCCTGATTTATCAATTTAGAATATTGTGTTTGATAGAGTTTAATTTCTCTCAGAGTTGGCTGTGACTTTGGATTCGCTCTTAATTTCTTCTCTAATTCTTTTAATTTGTCCAAGATCTTATCTTTTTTCTCATTTTGTGTTCTTTTCTTTACTACATTCTGTTGTATCAAGAATCCCCTCATTACAGCTTTGCTTGCGTCCCAGACAATTCTTTTTCCACCGAATTGTTCATGTTTATCTCAAAATAGTCCTTCAAAACTTTTTGGGCCTTCTTGGTAATTTCCTGATCTCTAAACAAATTGTCATTCATCTTCCATCTAAAGGATCCAGTTGGTAGTAGTGTCATATCCATCTTTACTGCATTATGGTCAGAGCAGGTCTTTGGGCAGATTTCCACTTTTCTGACCTTAGGTGCCAGGCCTCTGGAAATCCATATTTGGTCGATTCTTGTCCAGGTCAGTTGGGCTTCAGAAAAGAATGTTCCTTCTCTACCTAGTGGGTTCTTTGTCCTCCAAATGTCAATCAAATCCATATTGTCAGTCATTTCAAAAAAGTTTTAGGTAGTCTGCCGTCTTTTGTATCTTTTTGACTTTGTGACTTGTCCATGTTAGTTGACACGACCCTGTTGATGTCTCCCTTCATTATGATGTTGTTGTAATCCAGATATTCCAGCATTGTCCCCTGCAGCTTCTTGTAAAATTCCGATTTCCCTTCGTTAGGTGCATAGATTCCTAATATCAACAGTTTCTCTCCTTGATATTGTATCTCAATGGCCAAAATTCTTCCATGTTCATCTTTAAATAAGAATTTAGGTGACAGGCTCTCTTTTGCATATATCACCACGCCTCTCTTCTTAACTTTGTCCGACGAAACAAATTCCTGGCCCAATCTTTTATTTATTAACACTTTTCTGTGGAGCCTCGTCACATGTGTTTCTTGTAAACAGATAATGTCCAATTGTTCTTTTTTAATATATGAAATATTTTCTTCCTTTTTCCGGAATGTTACAACCATTAATGTTCCAACTCAGCAATTGCAGAGACATCCTGGATCTATCTGGTTATTTCTCCAGGGGTGGTGTCTTCTCTGGATCTTCAGGTTCCCCAGGTGCTGGTGTTGATACTGGCTTTGCCCCAGGCCCAGAGGGTAATTCAATTCCTTTTTGAAGGTCCTCTCCGTATGTAGCCAAAAATTTGTCTCTCTCTTCCAATGTTCTAACTTTGACCTTTCTCCCTTTAAAGGTAAAAGATATTCCTTGTGGAAATTCCCACCTGAATGGAATTGCGTTGCTCCTTAGTAGTTTAGCAAGTTCAGAATAGGCGGCTCTAAGATCCAGCAGTTGTCTTGGAATATCTTTATAAATTTCAATTCTTCTGTCCAAAACCTCCAGTGACTTTCCGTAATGTAGGCCCAAAATCTTATCCCTTTCCTCCTTTGATCTCAATGTAATCAAACAATCTCTGGGCCTCTCCTTCTTTGTGAATCTTCCAAGTCTGAAAGCCGACACAATTTTAAAATCCTTTTCTTCCAAATTCCAGAACTTGGAAAATTCTTTGGTCAAAAACTCAGTTAAATTTCCTTCTTCTGCCTCTTGTAATGATCTAATCCTCAAATTATTCTCACGATTTCGCAGTTCTATCATGGAAAGATAAGTCTGATGTTCCCCAACTTGTTTGTCCTTCCAGTGAGCACTCAGGGCTGATTTCCTTCAGAATGGATAGGCATGATCTTCTTGCAGTCCATGGGACTCTCAAGAGTCTCCTCCAGCACCATAATTCAAAAACATCAATTCTTCGGCGATTCCCCTTCATGGATCACTGCCTTGCCGTGGCGAAGGGGCTTGAATAACTCGGAGAAGCTATGAGCTATGCCATGCAGGGCCACCCAAGATGGACAGGTCATAGTGGAGAGTTTTGACCAAACGTGATCCACCTGGAGCAGGAACCGGCAAGCCACTCCAGTATCCCTGCCAAGAAAACTCCATGGACAAAGACAAAAGGCATATATTGATGCTTTGGACTATAATGTAAGTTAAATTGAAAATTATCTTTAGAAAGATTTTTCCTCCAAAAGAATTTTATTTTAAAAATCTGATTTAAATTTAAAAACTTGGTAGGAGCAAAAACGAGTGCTGTGGATCAGGGAACAGTTTTCCGACCAAGGGAATACGGCCATTGTCATGGACTGGTTGGACCCCGCGGAATGGTGGGAGGAACCAGCTGGTGTTGGTGGGGCAGGGCCCCATTTTCCCAAATGCACCAGCCTCCACTGTTTGACTGATTAGATTGGTAGGATTCTGGCCCAATCAGAGCACAGTCTCTATTGTCTTTTATTTATGATTTTCAGTTATATGCATTTCAATAGTTTTACAATCATTCTAACATTTCAGAATTCGACTTCCTCCTCTTTCTGTTGTTCCTTATTATTTTTTTACATTTCCTGCATATTCTAAATTTATTCTTTTATTCATCTACTTTAAATATTTGCTTTTATGAAACTGTAGGTTATTACAATAGTCCAGCCAATGTCCTTATCTGTTTGCAGTTTGTTTGTAAATATTCAATAAACTATTTCAGTTCTTTTATAAATTGTTTATTACCTTGATTTCTTATTTTTCTGGTAGGTTTCACCATTTCTGCATATTCCATACGTTTTTATATCCATTCTTCTTTTGTCAGGGCTTCTTCTTTCCATTTTTGGGCAAATAACATTCTTGCCGCTGTAGTCGCATACATGAATAAATTTCTATACAGTTTGGGTAGTTCTGTCCCTATAATTCCCAAAAGAAAAGTTTTTTACAAATGTTATTTTAAACATCTTTTTCAATTCAATATATATCATTTCCCAGTAAGCTCTAACCTTACTATAAGACCACCACATATAATAAAAAAACCTTTCTTTTTGCATTTCCAACATTTACTTGATTTATACATTTTTCCCCAATTTACTTGGTGTTAAATACCATCTATATAACATTTTCATATAATTTTCTCTTAAACCATAGCATGGTGTAAATTTTATATCCGTATTCCACGGTCGTTACAATGCTTCCATATCTGTAATATAACCAATATCTAATGCCCAATGTGTCATTGAAGATTTTACTTGCTCATCCTTTGTCTCCCATTCCAATGATATCTAATGCATTTTAGATAGCACTTTGACATTACATTCCAACAGATCTCTCTCCAATTGTGATATTCGTTCTATTTTAGATGCTTGTTGAAGACATGATTCTTTCAGTAAGACTTTCCGCAACCAATGCACGATGGTGCCTGCAACCGGTTGCTGGTTCCTTGCCCTGATTGCTGGCCTGCGTCCATTGGCTCCATGTCACCCCAGGTTCTTGGACCAGGGCACCTTCTGAATTTCCCAGAATGCCACAAATCACTCTGGGGCATCGTGGGAAATGAAAATCTCAAAAGCCAGGCCAAGGAAGGCTTTTGTTCTCCCAATTCATATCTCTATTGAAATTGATTTTATATTTGTGTGTGTGTGTCTGTGTGTAATTGTTGCTTTTCATTGTTTTACATGTAATTGTGCAGATTTTGTTTTGTTTTGAAATTATTTTTAGAGATAAAGTTGTTTTAACTGCTTTGATCTATGTAGTTGTTCTGTATCTGTTTTCATTGCACCATAAATTGCTCCAAGACGCTTCATAGGAAGCGATTCATAAGTGAAATAAATAATAATAACAATAATTTCCCAGGAAAGCTAAGCAGAAGCCAGACTTAATTACGAGGCTAGCAGAGTGCGTAGAGATTGCCTCTCACAAGTGGGAACAGACAGCGAGCCCTACCCATAATTCCCTGCAACACTCAGGGCCTCTTGAATGAACAATACCAATGTTGGAAAGGTTCCCTGGGGACAGGGAGTTTGAAAGCCACTGATTTACGGAGTTGATTATCGTCTTCTGTTTCTAACTACTGACAATTGCAGAAGCTTAATAACAAGAAAAAAGAGCTTGTCTCCTTAAGACTGGGCAGTAACTACCTTTTTTTCTTCTTGTGGCAGCTCATTGTTAATTTGGGATCGCTGAGCCATCCATTAAGACTTTAAATCACTCCAGTCAATTTTGGATTGGAAGTGGCATCCCTGAGGAGTGGTGCTTAATCCACCAAGCCATGCAGACAGTCATGCGCATATACACAAAAGTCAGTATGTAACAAGTCAGGCTCTGGCAGGTATCTGGCACCCTGGATCAATTGACAAGCACTCTGGGTTCGAAGGTGATGTAAAAGGAGGATGCTAATTGTGAGGAGTTTACATTGCAGCTTAATTTATGGCAGGGAGGAGGTGAGATTCAAGGAGGATTGCGGGCATTTCTTTGTGGGTGGGATAGGGGCTCAGAGCCAGCACGTGGCATCCTCCAGCGTTGCCATAGGGTCTGCTCCATATGCCTGCCCTGCAAACCCCCATGAGCTTTGTTTTTGCAGGGGAGGGCAGGAAAGCCTTGGCCCAGCTCTGAAGGTTTCCATTTCCCACAATGCCCCAAAGTGACCTTCCACCAGAGGCATTCTGGGAAATCAAAATGGTGGCTAGGTTCAGCAATAGAGCTTTTCCCATCAGTGCAGAACTCTGGGAGTAGGCGCTCCTGATCACTGGTGGAGGAAGAGGGGGGTAGGGGGGCGCACTGCCCCCAGCAGCTCGATCCCGGTGGGGCTGCCCCCCTGCCCACGCATCTGCCCCCCTGCCCATTGCAGCTGCCCCCCTGCCCACGTTAGGCACCACACCCCTGCAGGCAGCGCATCACACCCCCAGGGCATGCACCATGCCCCCATGGGCGGTGCGCCACACCTTGGGACACATGCCTCGCCCCCGGGACACATGCCATGCCCCCTGGGACGCACACCAGCCACCCCCCCGCCAGCCACACCCCCGTCTGCTCTCCACCACTGCTCCTGATGTCAGCAGCAGGGAACCTGTGTGGTCATCCAGCTGTTATTGGCCAGCAGCTTCTATCACCCCTCACCCCAAGACATGTTGGCCAGAACTGATCGAAGTTCAAATCCAGCAATGTCTGGAAGACATTGTGTTGGCAGGGGAGAGAAATTTGGCTTGGTTTGCATTTGAGTGTGAACCTACATAATTCACACTTCCTGAAACAATCTTGTTCCAATGAGCGCTTCCAAGGCTTTGCAGTAGCTGCATCTAAGAGAGGAGTGACCAAAAGGGCAAAAAGAGGAGCTGGCCTAGAAAGTTGCTTTGTGAGTGAGCTGGAGGCTGGAGGGGAGATGTTGGGAGACCCAGCAGGGACAGATGCATGCCTGTCTCTGTGCTTGAGCCAAAGCTGTGACAGATTGGGGCATTAATGCTGTGAGCCCCTCCATCCTGTTCTCAAGTTGAATATAAAGTTAAAGGGACCCCTGACCATTAGGTCCAGTCGTAACCGACTCTGAGGTTGCGGCGCTCATCTCACTTTATTGGCCGAAGGAGCCAGCGTACAGCTTCCGGGTCATGTGGCCAGCAGGACTAAGCCGCTTCTGGCGAACCAGTGCAGCGCACGGAAACGCCGTTTACCTTCCCGCCAGAGTGGTACCTATTTATCTACTTGCACTTTGATGTGCTTTCGAACTACTAGGTTGGCAGGAGTTGGGACCGAGCAATGGGAGCTCACCCCATTGCAGGGATTCAAACCGCCAACCTTTTGATCAGCAAGTTCTAGGCTCTGTGGTTTAACCCACAGCAATCCCACATCCCAAAATATATTTCTAAATAAATTCATATGTCTTAAAAGGCACTGTAGTCTCCGCTGACCTTCCTTCCAAGGAAACTGAACCCTGGGTAAGTACACAACCCCACTGGCAAGGAATGTGGCTCTCAGTCTGAAAAAGCTTCCCCACCCTCGGTGTCACTGGATTTTAGTCTAAATGATTAGGATTATATATTCTTTCTAAGGGGCAGGTGGGGCTTGTCCACCTGGGAAGCTAGCCCATCGAAGAGAAGGAAAACTCAGGTCCTAAAACTCTGCTTCCTTGCAAGATATCTTTGGTAGAAGAAAAGGCTAAGGCAGGGGTAGGCAACCTAAGGCCCGGGGGCTGGATGCGGCCCAATCACCTCAATCCAGCCCGTGGACGGTCCAGGAAAGCCACTTCCGCCCTGCAGAGGGGGTGGGGTTGCGGGCTTCACGGCCCCACCACACGTGCGGCGGCTGAAGTCCAGCCCCGCGCAATTGGGGGGGGATTCCCAGCTGCGTCACACCCTGGCCGGCCAATCAGCTGGCTCTGGGGGCGTGGCCTGCCCTATTTAAGGCAGGACGCAGCTGGGGATCTCCTTCTTTTCCCGCCTGCCAGCTGTTCCTGCTTTACCCACCCTCCCGCCCTATAAGGTTTCCGTTCCTTGATCTTGCTATGGACCTTGGTTGGTCACCATTGAGGGGCCTGGTATGAATTTTTCCACTTGGCAGACTGGCACCAGCCACTTGGTTTTCGCCTACCTCGTAGCAAATTGTCACAGCTTTCTGGGTATTGGAGGTTAGGCATTGGTATTGCTCTGTAGATGGAAGAGGGGAGGTAGCGCCATCACCTGCCCCGCATATTGAAGGGCAGGCCGGTAAAGGATTCTGGGGGGCGTGGCCCTGTCCGAAGCCTAGGGAGGTGAGGGCCTAAGGCACTCCCCCTATCGGTGACCCCGGGGGAGTTCCTAGTTGGTGTGCATCAGCAGAACTCACCCAATGGTGGTTAACCCTTCCCAGACTTCAGGCAGATGGGCTAAAGCTGGATATACCGTATTTTTCGCTCTATAGGACGCACTTTTCCCCCTCCAAAAATGAAGGAGAAATGTGTGTGCGTCCTATGGAGCGAATGCAGGCTTCAGGAAGCTATCCACAAGCCTTGGGAGCTCGGCGGGAGTGCCCGCTGGGCTCCCAAGGCTTGCGGATAGCAGCCTGCATCCCGACCACAAGCTGGGGGGACAGCGGGGAGGCAGAGCGCCACCTTCCCACTGTTCCCCGACCTGGTCTTTGGGGCTGGGGGTGGGGGAAAGCAGCGCTTCCCCCCTCCGCCAGTCCCAAAGAGCGGGTTGAAAGGAACCCAAAGCCTCCAGAGCCCAGCGGGAACTCCCGTTGGGCTCCAGAGGCTTCAGGTGAACGCACCTTGAATGCACAGAACGCACCTTGACTTAGAGGGGGAGAACAAGAAGAAATTTTTTTCCCCTGTTCTCCCCCTCCTATGGTCCGGTGCGTCCTATGGTCTGGTGTGTCCAAAAGAGCGAAAAATACGGTAGTTGGTTAGGACCAATGCCTAAGCCAATACCGCTCATCACCTGTAACCAATAAAGTTGTGGCCTTATAAAGTTAACCTTAATAATTGTGTCATGTGTTTTTATTTCCACTGGGGGGGGCGGGAACTCGCCACACAATCAGTGTGTTTTTACATGAGTAGAATGTGTGCTTTTATTTAAAACGCATCTCTGGGTTATTTGTGGGGCATAGGAATTCATTCATATTTTTTTTCAAAATATAGTCCGGCCCCCCACATGGTATGAGGGACGGTGGACCGCCCCCCTGCTGAAAAAGTTTGCTGACCCCTGAGCTAAGGAGTAAACCCTACACGAATCCGGAATGGAGTCCCTAAGATAGTTGGTTGGTGCCTTGTAGCAACTCCTGCAAGTTGTAGCAACTCCTGCAAGTTACTCCAAGTTGGTGCCAAACATATTGTTCTGCTTTCCTTTGGACCACATCAGTGAGGCTGAGTGGGAGAATATAGTTTTCTGGGCAGCCCAGGACCTCCATCCACTCTGCCCAGGCTTGCACCCTAAGCAGGTCACTTCAGTGCTGCTAACGCAGCAGTTTGACTTCACCCCTGGAGGCACACTCCATTGTCTTTTGAGACTGACGGATGCCAACCATGTACAGTGGTGCCTCGCAAGACGAAATTAATCCGTTCCGCGAGTCTCTTCGTCTTGCGGTTTTTTCGTCTTGCGAAGCACGGCTATTAGCGGCTTAGCGGCTTAGCGGCTTAGTGGCTATTAACGGCTTAGCGGCTTAGCGGCTTTAAGAAAAAGGAAACAAACTCAGAAGAACTCGCAAGATGTTTCGTCTTGCGAAGCAAGCCCATAGGGAAATTTGTCTTGCAGAATGACTCAAAAATCGCTAAACCCTTTCGTCTAGCGAGTTTTTCGTCTTGCGAGGCATTCGTCTTGTGGGGCACCACTGTACTCTTTCTGACACCAAACCTTTTCCTTTTATATGGTTTCTCTCTCTCTCTCTCTCTCTCTCTCTCTCTCTCTCTCTCTCACAAGCATCGACTCTTGCCCATTTTCATTTGTGTGTGGGTACATCAGCACACATATTCTTCAACACAAGTCCAGCAATAATTCTAACCTCGCTTGATAGAGGTCACCTCTTTCATTAGTCTGATTCCATCACATTTCACCAGCAGCCACAACCAAAGGGTGTGGGGGGAGAAGTGGCTGGCCTCGTATGACTTCAAAAGCTAATAATGAAAAGTTTTTGTGGCAGGGGTCAGCAAGAAGGCAAGCACAAACCGAGCCCTGCTGATGGGGTAGCAAATGGGCAGGGGGCTTAGAAGTCTCATGTGCCCAGGCGCCTGATCCCTGCAGCCTGAATAAGTGGTGCAATTGGAGCGGTTGCTGAAATAGA